GCATGAAACTGAGCAAACTCAGGGAGGCAGTGAAGGACAGGAAGGCCTGGCGCAATATGGTTCATGGGGTCACGAAGAGTCGGACACGACTTAACGACTAAACAACAAAAAAGTATTTGGAAATCTAGTGAGTTGTAATTTTTATGAGGCATTTCTAGATTAACCTAATATGAACTATCTCACGTAATATCATTACTTATAAATATATGCAAAAAACTGGGTTAATTAGTTGCATGTCTGGCCTTTGGTAGCAAAAACATGAAATTGGTTTTTGCCACCCAGTCACTACTCAGTGCTGGCCCTACAATATAACACAGATAAGAAAAGCAGATTGGAATAAATGAAGGAAAAACTGGAGGCAGACAAATGAAATTGTGGAACTTTAAAAAAAACAGTTGGCTTTAACATGAGTGGGGCAGGTCTTGCACCAGTGCTACCATTTTTCTACATATTTGCAAAAAATTAGCTAATTAAATTAGTAAATGAGTACTGAAATCAGTTATGTATTCCATCAGGTGTTCACAGCATAATTATAGCTTCCACCACAGTACTGTCCATCTGCATAGTTGCAGGGTCATCCACAGGGTGTTTAAAAAGGTCAACATGGAGGATGTGACCTCGCAATTGAACCCCTGATGCTTTTTTACACATATTGTGTCTGCATCAGACATAGAAAAGGGGTAGGGATTCGACTGTGTGGTTGAGACCTTGTTTTATTTAACCTCCTGTGTGGATGTCCTAGCATCTCTCTCTATATATATTGTATACACACACACACACACACACACACATATATCTCATTGCAGAAAAGTCCTATAATTGTGACCGATTGTACAAAAAGGTATCACAGCTTCAAGACAGGACTGTGTGTTCCAGAAAAGGGAAAAATTTGCATCTAGAGCGAATTACAAATCACTGTGCTCCCATTTTATATATAGTAAGTCTAATAAGTCAGGTTAATTGACTGAAGTTCTTTATTCCCACAGGAGAAACTGAAAGTGTGCCAGTGATTAACCCTGCAACACAGATTGCCCAGGTAAAAAAAAAAAAAGCAAAATGCTCTAAAGAATCCCAGATATTTAAAGAATTAGTGAGGCTTCTGATATCTCAAAGTATAATTCAAACTCAGTTTAAACATTCAATACAAAGCAAACTAGCCAGACAGAAACATTAGTTTTATATGTTAATTATATTAATAATAAATATTTTTTATATTTAAAACATCCTACTTTCTCATTATGCTTTTATGGAACCTACCTAGACTAATTTCACTTTTTAGGGCTTGTGTACATTTGTCATCTCCCTGCCCTTATCCTCTGGTGCCCTGGTAGGGAGGAATTCTGATGCATATACGCAGAGCCACCCCATTGGGTCCAGGTAGTCAAGAGAACACACAAATCTCAAGATAAGTTAATGCTTAAATCCCACCATTTTCAGTTGGATTTAAGACTATTCACATGACCAAATTTCTGAAGTGGAGGCAGTAAAAGGGAATAATAGAATCAGGATGGCCTAAATGCTCATGAAGATACCTAAATTACAGCATTCTGCAGAGAATGTCTGTCCAGCCTCTTCTTGAACACTTCTGATGAATAGAGCCCAATATCTCTGTAAATGCAGGTGATGGCACCAAATGTGTGTGAAATAATCTTGAGCACCAGGCTTTACATTAGAAGTATGTTGTTGCATATGGTGTTTTAAGCTACTAGGTTTCACTGGCATTTTTCTCAGGGGCTTATAATTAAAAGGAAACAGAAGGATGGGTGAAGAACACAAGTAGAATGAAAAGGGAAAGAATAGTATTTATTTTAATTCATGTTTTTTGGATGAACTACAGTGGACTTGGCCTGGGAAAAAGGTGGATGACATGTAGTACACATGTGCCTGTAGTTAATGTTGGACTTCCCCCATTATTCTTCACAATTAACTATGTTGTCCTGAGCTGATAGGAGTTCAGCAACAACTAGTGAAGTATATGTTGATTATTCCTTGTACTGGGAATCACCCACTTGTCTTTTAAGCTGCTATCCAAGGACCAAAGCGGAAACACTCTAAAGCCAAATCAACTTTCCTCCCAACAGAAGGGTATGAGGGAGTGAAAACATTGTTCCCAGTGACTGTAGTACTTACTATTGAAGCATTGGTGGCCTGTGATGAATGGTAGGCATCAGTGTGTGAAGGAGAGGGTTGCTTTTTGATATAGGAATAAGCTAGATCTCCCTTGTCTCAGTTGTTTCATTCTGCTCATGCCTGGTCAATTCTTTTAGCTTCCTGATTGGATGGTGCCATAACTGAAGACACCTTGGGTGTGTGGCAGTTTACACACATTGTTTTCTATATCAACACAGAGAGTTCTGGATTCTAGAGAAAGGACTGTAGGATGGATGTTTGCTAATTTGTGAAGAGTGATTTATTTAAGGTGAGGAACTTTGCTAGAACTTGGAGTCATCAAATCTGTGTGATGCTGAGATTGCAGTAAACAGCAGAAAACAATAATATTCTAGAGAGAATGGAGCACTTCAGTGCAATCCCAAGGAAGTGTAATAGAAGTGGTTTCTAATGTGAGCTTTAACTGAATAGGTAATACTGATGTTAACCCTTCCACTCAAGGGCATCTATGGGGTGGGTAAAAGAAGCTCCACCTCTTTTTTATATATGTGATGCATGCAACATACTCAGAAAGAGATCATGCGGTTGCAAATGCCATCTTGACTTTTTTCACCCTCCTGTGGATGTCCCAGCTTCTCCTGTCCTATCTTTTTCATTAATTTCACTGTCCTTGTAGTCATGTGGAATTTTATAAGGAAAATTTTGTGTATAAATCTAACAAATAAACAGATAGTAATCAAATATATAAAATCAATGTTTGCAGTGATTGCAGCCATACTAGTTCAAGGTTGCTCAAAATCTAAGTGCTAATCTATATTTTTCTCTAACAGGGAATGGTGACCATACATTAATTCTATATGTTTATGTCTATCTGTGCAGATATGTGCAATTTCACTCGGAATTCAAATTTTGTAAGGGAAAGCATCAGGTGGCTCTTATGAAAATTCACAAATTTTGCCTGTTCAGTCTCTACTCCCAGTATAGCTACTAGTAGGCTTATAAAAACTGTAAATAGATTTTGCAATACATAGTTTGATCATCCTGTCTGTAATTTATTTATTTATATATACATATATCTCAAATTTGTCACTGCCCATCTCGTTGAAATGACTCTGGGCGGTTTACAAAACATTTAAAATCAATTAAAATTACAATATATGGTAATCTTAATAAATAAAAAATAAATAGATCCAAGAATAGATATAAAATTGACAGTCAGTCAGGGAGCATCATCAAGGTGCCAGCCACTCCCAGGACTGGGTAAGATTGTTGTCACCCCATGCAAGCTGGCAGAGCCAGGTATTTAATTCTTTTGAGAAGGCTGGGAGGGTAGGGCCCTGCCGCACCTCTGGGAGGAGAATATTCCAAAGGGTGGGGGCCATGGCAGGGAAGGCTCTCCTGCCTTGTTTTTCATCTACTGGCCAGGACTGTACATTACATGTTACATAGTGTAGATCTGGCCTGTACAGGTTATTTCTGTAAACTGAACACAGCTATAGCCTTTAACTGCAGCCCACTAAGGACATGATAAATCTGCTACCTCCTTGAGACTCTCACACCACTTTTGTCACACAACTAGCAGTCCACTATGCATGGCTGATGAGCTGCTATGCTGGCTGGATAGGTATGATAATGGCCAGTGTAGTGTAATGGTCAAGATGTTGGACAGGCAATAGGGAGACCCAGGTTCAAGTCCACCCTTGGCCACAGAAACTCACTAAGTGGCTTTGGGCCATTCATGCTCTCTTAGCCTAACCTACTTCTCAGGGTTGATATGGGGAAAACATTGGAAGAGGGATCATTATGTACATTGCCTTAAGTTCCTGAAGGAAAGGTGGGATAGAAATTTAATCAATAAATAACAATTTAAAGTAATATGAGACTTAAGCAGAAGAAAACAGTATTTTCCAGGATTTTTCCTGGTTGCTATAGCCATGAAGAAAAAGTGGGATATATATTAAAATATAAAAATACAACATGATTTGTCAAGGTTCACTGCAGGATTTTTTACTGGGAACATCTGAAGAATATAGATGCTGGATCAGGCAAACGGGTTATCTTGCACAGCATTTTGCTCCCCACATGTTCTGTTTATAGTTTGAGAGGCGGTGACAGTGCCATACCACATCCTGTTGTGTTTACAAGCCACCCCAGGACAGAATAAAACCCAGCCTACTTTTCTTCCACGTTGCTTTCACTTGGTGCAGTTTGCAATTTGTGGGTTGGGAGTTGGTGCGGCATGGTGGGGGGATCACCTCCATCTGGAGAACAAAGAGTGGAAGGCATATATATGCATTCCTCCTGAAGGAGAAGCATGGCTTTGGGAAAATACCCTTTTTCTACTGTTTGCTAAGCATTTACTTTTTTGGTTATGACTGATGCACCATTGCTGAATTGCAGGTGGTGGCATGAGAGTGCTAGGAGTATGTTTAGAGGCAGACCTGGAATTTTCTCCATGTTTGATAGGACTTTGCAAGTATAAAAAAACCTCCCTCTCCAGAGTTAAAACTATTTCTAATGTATCTAAATGACTGGACAGTGTACCAGAGTTAAACATTGAAACACATCCTGCTGGAGAGACTAAAGATAGAGACAAGACTGGCTAGGGAGGACCCCTTACCCCAACAGGGGGAAGGGAAGTAATTTCATCTGGGAAAATCCAAGATGTCTTAGCAGGTAATTGACTAGAAAAACAGGAAATTTAAAAGTGTGACATTAAAGGGAGATGAGATAGAGGTTATAAAAAATACAGAAATGACTTGAGCTTCAGTAAGATGATTAGTACTGTCTATAAAAAGTGTTTGATTCTGCGGGAGAGGACATGCTATAGATATCAGATACAATCCCTGGTAGGTCCAATAAAAAGGTTGGGTAGCAGTTAATGGATAAGATCTTTGTCTGCTAGAGACTCTGGAAAATCACAGTACATCAGCCTTTTCCAGTCTGCTGCCTGAAAATTTGTTTTGGGTGCCACATCCATAAACCACAGCCATCTACAGGTGCTCTGCTAGTGTGCTTGCTGGAGTTAATGGAAACTGTAAGCCAATATTTGTGGAGGAAGAATGGAGGAAATAATTATACTATAGTTTTGATGAGGGGTCCTCAATCTACAGCTCCTGGGCCATAATCAGCCCTCTGCCCACATTTCTACAGCCCCCAAAGCGACTTCTGTTATTTATTAAACTGAACATTAAATATTGTTATTTTGAGGCAGGATATATAAACTATATTTCTTATAGCATCCTAATGGAAGACCCAAAATAGGTTTAAGACAATTTTTTTTAAAGAAAAAGCAGGACGACGGCCATGCCCACTTAGCATCATTGTCCATTTTATGGTAGCCTTCACCCTCCTCAAATATTACATCATGCCCCTAGTCACCAGTTGCACATATCTGGATTAAGGGAAAAATGTCCTAACTAGGAGAAGAGATTACTGTATGGGGTAAATAATAGAATGTATATTGTTTTTCCATGTCACTGAGAATTGATGTGGGCTCTGACTGTTCAGTTGCAGGCTCTGGCTTCTGAACTTAAAAGTAGCTTCACTGAAGCAATGCAAGAACTTTCAAGAATTCAACACGGAGAATATGCTCTTGAGGAGAAGGTTCAAAGTTGCCGGTGTGCAATGGAGGAGAAAGTGGCTGAAATGAAACATTCTCTGAATGGCTTCAAGGTAGGCAAGCAAGTATTCTGGGCCAGTAATTTTGGAAGGCCAGAAGCAGATGGCCTGCTGCATCTCGCAGCGTGGCAATGCAGAAAGTCGAAAAGCTGAAGTGCAAAAAGGCTACCTACTGACAAGGAGAAGCCCTGGCGTGTGTTGAACAGGCTCTCTCTTTTTCAGGGGGTTATTAACAATTACAGTGAAGCAAACAATAGTCTAGCCTACCTTTGTGCTTAATTATAGAAGTATTCTATGCTACTCCTAGGTAAATTAGCCTCTTTCAACCTTCTCCAATTTGGCACACAACACGATCCATCTGAAAAAGGAGTGGACAGATCTGTTGCAGAGTGTGCCCTGTTTTCCTCCTCTTTCTTTCTCCAATGACCCACAATTCTGAGTGAGTTTTCTTAGTTGTCCCTGATTTAGGCAATCTCTTCGTTTGTTTGTTTGTTTGCTTTATTAAACAGTTTTAATCAACTCAATTATTCAGGATGAAGAAAATGTTTTAATACACATCTTAATAATATCAGGCTGAATCAAGCGCCCGGTGTTTGCATAATACTTGCTGCCTGTGAGAAAAGCAGAATTTTTCTTGTCCCTTTCACAGAAAAAAAAAATCCAAAAATAATAGTGGGGGAGGAGGTGGTGGATGGCTGATGCATCTACTGTATTTTGTTTTCTTCTTCTGTAACACAACACACATACCAGGGGTGTCTGCAAGGTATGGTAAAAAAGTCAATACAGTGGCTGTGACAGTACAATCAAGACTCCAACCAAAGCTTTTAAAACCAGGCAGAGCTTCAATTGCACCATCACAGCCACCATCTTGACTTTTGTGGCCACACCTTGTGGACATCCCTGCTTGTAGCAGTGCAACATCTTTCCTCTTCAGTTGTTCACCTTGTCTCCCTTGTTATAAAATGTGCAACCATACAACATTGTAAAAATGTCATGTGGGTCTAAGAAAAAAGACAAGATGAAAGAAAAGGGAGGCTCATGCTGCTACAAGTATATACACGTGCGATGGGCCTTTTTTAAAAAATGGAAAAAGGAAAGGAAAATTGACCCACCAGTCAAAGGCAAAAGAAGATGGCCTCTACCCTTCCAACCCTTCAGTTTCCAGTTGAAATTCTGCCCTCTTCTTCTATCTCACATTTACTTCGCCTTCCTTTCACAAATGGGACAAATGCAAAGCAAAGCATAGCAGATATTGGGCACACCCCAACTGTTTAAATCCTGCTAGGATATGATGGGATAGATGACCATCATTTACCCCAGAACTAGCCAGTCAGGACTGTGCAACCAGGCCACTGTTAAAAATCAGTACAGGTTTCCCAAAATTGGAACTGGGGAAGGATATCATATATGCATTTCAAATGTAGTAAGTAGACCCACTATTGAAATGATGTACATTTATAAATACTTCTTTCTGACTTGGTATAAATTATATCTCTCTCTCTTGTTTTTCTCTGAGAAAGAGTTTGAACGTTCAAAGTGCTTTCTTGTATCTCTTTTTCCAAGCCACACATCAAAAATTGTCTTTTTTTAAACTAGGAGGAGCTTAATGATGCCAAATCTATGATTGAGGAAATCAATGCCAAACAAGAAGAGATGCAGCAGAAAATTGAGCAGCTGCAGCAAGAGAAACGGAAGGAATCTCGCAAGCTCAAGGTGAAGTAAGTGACCAGTATTTTTCAAGGCCCTTTATAATTTCAGAACAGCTTTGGGTTTAATGCAATATTTACTTTTTCTTGTATCCCCCCCCCCCCCCCTTAAAAAGTCTGATTCCAATACATTAGATAAGAGAAGAGAAAAGAAGAGAAGAGAAAGGAAAGTCAATCTAGCTGGCTGGAAACAAGGGGAATTGTACTGTAGTTTAACAGGGAGGGTGCCATATTGTTGATTTTAATTTAATGCATTTGTTCATCCATGGGGGAGGGGGTGGTAGCATGTTCAAGAGAGTGGCAGAGGGACCATTGTGGCTCCTGGTTTCCTATTAGGTGCTGTGCTGACATGAAGAAGGCAGTGCAATGCCAAGTTAGCCATAGTCTAGGGACAATTATATAATTTGCTGGGTGTCATATGGAGCATTGCTGTCAATGGGCTGTCAATATACTAGGCACCAGAACTGTGTTTATTGATGTTGCTACAATTTTTAGAGTACTACAGTGTCATTGATCTGCATCAGCTGACATCAGCTCTGGATCTGATATCCCAATTTTTTCTGTTTTTGACACCTGAGTTGGTTTATTTCTGACTTTTTCCTGGAAACTGTCGCAAAGTTGATGTTTTTCTTTGAATCAGTATGGTTCTGTGGCCCTGACAGTTCATGTTTTGAGGGTAGCAGAAGTTAAGACAATAGCATCACTTTTTCAAATTTACTCATGAGGGATTAGAGTATGAAAACACTGAATAGTGAAATTAAAGGGAAACATCACCTTTATACCGAGAACTATGGGAAGTTCAACATTTGTGTGCTTGTGTGACATAGCTCCTTCACAATCCCGGTCACTTCCTACATTGTATGTAGCCTTTACTGTATTGGTAAAAGTAAGGAGGTGAAAGTTCAAAGATGACAGACTTCGGATGTTAAACCCAGCCCCTTTCCTGCATCAGTGTCATGATTGGTAATATTTATTCACTAATAAATATACATATATATAATTCTGCATAAGTATTTCAATGAAAGGTAGCCATATTTTGTTATTATCATCAATAGTTAATGTATATCAGTAAGAAATTTGTTCATATGTTTCTAATCACATTAATTCTGCATTAAGTAGTTGGGGCCACATATTTTATCTAGGCATTGTCTAGGCCACTGTTTCTCAACCATGTCAGCTTTCAGATGTGTGGACTTCAACTCCCAGAATTCTCCCTTGCTGGCTGGGGAATTCTGGGAGTTGAAATCCACACATCTGAAAACTGACAAGGTTGAGAAATAATGGTCTGGGCAATGAGAAGAGGGGTTAACATCAGTACCAAAAGCTTGGAGAGAGCTTACCTTTCAGGAAAAAAACACATAACTTAACTCTTCCATAAAGCAAAGCAAAACAAATTGTAGAGCAAAACACACCCACACAAATATGAAACCCTGGCATGTGCAGAAATCAGGACTTGCTCAGGCAAACCAGCACTAACGTTCCAAATCATGGGGGTGATTTTTCTAGGTTTGGGTATCTACGAAAGCCATCTTGTATGCCAATATTTATAAACACAGGCAAACTGGGGGCTCCTTCCCAGGCCCTCCAAGTGTGTGTCTATTGTCTGTTTGTTGGTGGGGACAGTCCATTGGGAAGAGATGCAACAAACACAAAAGGCCAGCCAACATCCCCCTCTCCAGCCCCAAAGCTTCCACTGTATCTTCCCAGAGATATCTCTTGGCTGCCTTGCTTTTTCATGTTTTTTTTTCCTCAGAAGGATCCAAAAAGAGGAGCATGGTTCCCAAACTGTGCCTACCCCTCTGCAAGGAAGCCCCTTTCGAGCCCTGAAACTTCCGGACCCAGTTTTAATTAATGAAGATTTTGTAAAGCTTTTGCACAATACAACGTATGAGAAAGGTATTAGTTCTACTGGGTTATCCTGTTCTGTGATGTGTGCTAGAGGGCGACTTGCAATATACAAAAGGTCCTTCCTCCCTTGTTTCTGTTCTCTGTCCTTCCTGTTCTTAAGCCTGTTGTTTCCCTGGAGGTAGGGCACCGCTGGGCAAAGTAATCCTGATACAGCAAATTGCCAGGTATTTTTGTTTATTATTGGAGCATAACCTTTGGGAAGAGGAAGTGCCATTTTAATGTTTTGCCGTGGGTAATAAAGAAACATGTTTTGTTTTTGTGCTGCTTCAAAGAGATGTCCGATCCGTCTCTCCTCTTCTCTATGTGACAACTGTGCATAGCATGAAATAAAGTACATTACAATGTTTGCTTAGGATGCATGTTTCTATATGCATCTGCAAATGACTCTGTTTTCATGGAATACATTTTCTTTCCAGAACACACTTGCTCCTCTAGGGGAACTGGTTTTCCCAAGCAACTTTGGCTGGTACAGTATTTGCTAGGGGATAGGCTGCTGTCAATCTGATACAGCCATCCCAGAAACATGTCTTAGCATGCTATGTACTTCCCAACACATGGAGCATTTAATTGAGACCATGGAGGTTGCCTTGCATGTAAAAGGGGAACAAAAAGTGAAAATCATAGCCTTTTGTGACACAGACTTTTGCTGAGAAAATATAACAAAAGCAAAAGGCAATAGTTAGCGCTGAAGACTGCCAAGGGAAGCGGGAAGAATGAATACTAAGAAATGTGCAACTGGGAAATTACTGCTTTGGCTTTTGGAGAGTGGGCATGGAAGAGGAATTATAATAAGAATGGGAAATCTGACAGAAGAGAAAAATAAAAAGAGTAAAATTCACAAAGGTTGTGAAGACCTGTAAAGGAGAAGAATGTAGTTTCTAGCTCTGTGGCAGAGAGTAGCTGTGATGAACCAAGATTCGCAAAAGTGGGTGGTGTAGTTAAAAGGGTAATTTCTAAGTGTGCCAAAAAGTTTTTTTTAAAAAGAAAAACAACCTTATTCCTTTTTAATAAACGTGGAGAAATTTAAGTAGAGTTTAAAGTTCTCTTGCAGCAAATCACTCAAAATTGCTGAAGTTTTAGTTACCATCTAAGTGGTATTATTTTGAACAGATCACAAAGCAGAGGATGTTTGGATATTGATGTTTTGAAAAAGTTTTGCATTATTGGATAGCAGGATAGTCATGACCTTGTCCCTTATTTCTTAATTAATTAATTAATTAATTAATTTCTAATTATCTTCCCAAGCTGGTTTATAAAACATTAATCTTCTCATTAGACAATATCTGAATTGCCATGCAAAAAGGGTGACAATCATGCAACCATGCACCGTTCCTGTGGAATGGAGGAACATCATAAGTGAGTTTAGGGATATCAGTAGCAACTTGGATACAACAGTATGCCATACAAGAGGAGGGGCCATTCTCAGGAACCAGGACTTTCCATTAATTCAGTTGTGTTCCTTGTAACAGATCAGTGTTTCTCAACCTCAGCAACTTTAAGAGGTGTAGACTTCAACTCCCAGAATTCCCCACCGAGCATACAGAGAAACACTGTACTAGATACATAACAGGTATCATTGTAAAATGTATTGCAGTAATACTTTTAGAACATATGACTATGACAAATTTCACCAAGCTAGTGTCTTCTGATGAGCTGGACTTCAGCAACTAATTTGGAATGATGGGAGGTTCAAGGCCTCTGGACAGCATCAGGTTGGCAGATAATTTTCAAGTGCATTTGTCCTATTTTTGTCCAAATTTTGTCCACATTTGTACTTTCCTTAATTTGCCATATCTTTCCAAATTGATCTTTCTACACAAAGCAATCAGTAATGACAAGAACTTACTTTGCTTGTTTTATGCATTGAAATTCACAAAAACAAACCCTAGAAGCTGAAATTTTAGAAACATTTTTCTCAGTATTTAAATCTAAGCCTTTGTGAAAAGTTTGTTTTACTGATCTTTCTTTGCATGTAAGCTAATCTCCTATTTTTGCTCAGTCTCTGATTGCATACCTAGGACACTGGGAGAAAGCTATATGAGAGGTGAGTGGATCTGAATGTTTTATAGATAATGTTCTCTGATAGAGATTCTCAGGAAACTTGTAAAACACCAACATTGTTGATGAAAGTATCTGTATAACTGTAGCACGTTCTACCTATTAAGCAAAGGCAATGAACTACATAAGATATAGACCCAGGAATGTGGGATTAAAAGTTTTCCTGCTGAGATAGAGAGGCAAGTTTTCTTAGCATCTGTAGAACAACTTCCAGAGACCATTGTCTAGGTAAGCCACACCAATCTGAGTGGTATACCTGGCTTGTTAAAAGTCAGTGGGTATTTCTCAGTGGGTTTGCATATGTAATGATTTTTCTTAAGGAAACTTCTAAGAGTATTCCTGATTCTTCAAGTCTGAGGTTCAGTCATTGGGGCATAACTTGGGATCATCCATTGAATCTAAATGCAGAAATCTTCAGGACTAATAAAGAGAGGTATATCATTTCCTTAAACATCATATAGTTAAATTTGGAAATGATTGCCATCAGATGTGGCAATGGCCACCTGTTTAGATATTTTTAAAAGGGAATTGGACAAATGTATAGGCAATAGGGTCATCACTGTTACTTGACTCAACAGCTATATGCTGCTTCCTGTATTACAAACAGCATATTGTGAATATCAATTGCTAGGGGCAACAGTGGAGGAGTACCTTTGGCTACTTGTCCATATTTGTGAGTTTCCTGAAAGCACCTGGCTTCAGAACACAGAATGCAGGACTAAATTGCTCCTAGGCTGATCCATTAAGGATTTTCTTGTGTCTTTTAATTTGCATGCAGATGTAGCTGTTTATGGAGCTACCAGAGCATTTAGACAATCCAGATAAAGCAGAGGAGTCTGTTCAAAAGCAAAATAGGAAAGCCTGTATGGAAACTATAAAATGAAGCTTGTCTGTAAGCTACAATTGTTCTGCACAAACTCCTTTGAGAACTTTGTCAAAAAACAAGAAATAAATACCATGAAAATGGCACAACTTTCACAGGGTCCTTCAAATTTCATAATAAAAGATATTATCATTGCCTTTGGCATGGGCTTTCTTTTTTCTTGGAGAAATTTAGATAAATTGATAGATTGGTAGATGATAGATAATTTTTTAAAGATCTTGCACTCCAAAGGTTGACATGGCTTCAGATATTTGCACAACGGCTTTTAGACTAGTTTAACAGGCCAAATGGCCATTAAGGATATTCCTGCTAACACCATGTTCTAATTCTAGGGCTAACCAGTACAAATCTGGACAGAGAAGAGAACCTCCTAGCTTCCTCATCAGGTGATGCTCCATCAAAGGGTCAGGCATCATCAACATCATGGAAACAGCCCAAAGGCAGTAAAGAGAGGAATGATGAACATATTTCAAAGAACTTAAGTGATAGGCAGAGAGATTTGGGTCCAAATAAATATAGCTCAATAGAAAATTTGATGTGGGATCCTTCTGTTGCAGGTGAGAATAACAGAAGTGGCCAGGAGACAGAAGAATTCTCTCTTGTGTCAATTGTGCATGTGATTTATAGGATACAGTTTTAGATACAAAGGTACTCGCAAGTGCCTTCAGAACTGCCTTCTCTGTATGGAATTGACTCATCTGGCATGTGGTCACCAACAAAATCTGTGAAGGGTCCCCCATTGCCAAGAAGTTGTAAAGGACAAGAGGCTTTCAGACCATTTTTTTCCTCTTATGGCCCCTGCATTATGGAACAACCACTTCCCTGAGATAAGATCAGCATCCATCCTAACGGTCATCTGGAAGCTCGTAAAAACTGAGGATCTGGGGGAAGATGAATGTGTGCCATAGCATTACTGCATTATTATATGCCTGTCTTGGTTTTAATATTTTGTTCTTTTACTGTTATAAATCACTGGAAGTCCATGCAGATTACGGTAATATATAAGAGATAGAAGCAAGAAGCAAACAAATATACACTTTTTATTTGAATTGCAGGTCTGTTTAGGCAGTAGTTTAATCCCTGCTTGGTAGACATAATTTCAGACTTCCCTATTTTGAAATAAGTTGCAATGGCAAAAAGTTAAGTCTTTGTTTTTCCTGCTTGTTAATATTCTCCTCTTATATTGATAGTTTATTTAAAAACAAGTGGCATGATCATGTTTCTTAATCTGTCAAAACAAAATTATTTTTGTTCTGTCATAGCTAAAAGGCAAAACATTGCTTTGGACTTATTAGAGTCTGAAAGAAAGTATGTTGTCAGCCTCTCTCTTGTTCTGAAAGTTAAATCCACATTGCATGGAACAGAAGTTAAAAGAAATACGAAGGAAAGGTACACTATTCCTTGTACTTTCTTATATACTATGATTTTTTTAAGTACTTGAATCAGATTTTCTTTTAAAATATCAGTATTTTATTCTCTTCAGTCTTCCCTTCATTGGCCATCTGTCACATGCCCATCTTCATCTCTGTTTGGGTCCATGATGGGATCCACCTTGATGCTAAAGCAACCTTATTTATCATAGAGATGGGCCCAAATGGCTTTTCAAAGTTCTCCACTACATTTATGAGCAGTAAAATTGGGCAGATGATTTCTCCATATTGTATTTTTTCAGAGAAAGGATAAATTATCTACAGTTTCTCAAGGACAGGACTCCCCTTGTGTTAACAGCAACACCACTATTTAAAAAGCCCCAAAGGAGAAATTTCCTGAAGATGAGCTTTTCCCCATGCATTAAAGATGTGTTAAAAATCTATCCACCCACCTTTAAAGCTGCTGTTTCTTCACCTGCACTTAATGATGATCCAGAATAGCTCTGGGATCTGGTTCCTAGCCCATATCTGCTACTGCCTTACGTAATCTTTAGCTGTACCACTATGAAATGAGTGTTGCCTCTCTTATCCTTATATAATTTTGCCAAAGATGCAATCTGATGCACTCATCATCCATTCTGACTGTAGTGCAGTCCAGGTGATACCTAAAAGGTTGAACCCAAATCCTACCCTAAGGGTAGAACCTGTTGGCCACTGTAGACTAGTGTGGATATATCCTCTCCTTTCTCCAGTTTCTAGGCTCTATCTTACTGTTTTGGACAGCCTGATAACTCTGCTCCTTCAAACCAGGTTATCCTCCTATATCCACTAAGTCTCTGAACTGATACTTGGGTTTAAAAGAGGGATCATCCTTAATAGCAACCGACTGATGGTGTTGATAGTGGTTAAAGTTGAGAGATGCTTTCAAAAGAGCGCTAAATCTGTTTCAAAGGACCTGAATAACAGCTGACAAGTGGTGGGGAGACTGCACTGTGAAATGGCAGGGAGATCCCTGCCGTTGGCCAGCTCTTACTTGGGTTTAAAAGGAGCATACTTACCAGCTACTCTTTCCAAAGAGCACCAAACAAATGTTCAAAGAAGGTGAAATAACAGGAAACAAAGGTGAGGAAATCCATCAAATTATGGTTGGCCGATGCTATAAAATGCAGTAAATCACTAGTGAGGAAATGGCCTTAGATAAAGTGATTTGAGAATGGGGAGAAAGATTAAACATGTTCACTTAATGCCATTGCCCCAGGTAAAATGGGAAATTCCTTCAAATGCTTTAAGTTGAAAAAAAAGTTAGCAGTTGTGATCGTGGATTTCCACAGTCATGCCTGCTTCATCCTGGAGTTAAAATTTGCATTGTGAATTGTTCCTGGAACATTGTGTACTACCTCAGTTTGTATACCTTTAGCAGCTCTCCTACTGGATATTAGGTTAGATATGTTATTCTGAATTTTTGTTAATATTTCTATGAAAAAAACCCTATTTTTCCTGTATTCTGGTTGCAGTTTGTTCCCCAATTCTTTGAGATACTTGGTCCAGCAACATGTAGATTTACTTCATGCCTTGCAGGAAAGAGTGTTGAGCTGGCCTCAACAAGGAATCCTGGGAGACATATTTCTCAAATTGACCAATGATGAGGTATATTTTGAATGAAAATAAATAATGAAGAATACCTGTTCAGGAAATTATTCTATTCTGAATGACTCAAATGAACATGTATGCGTGTATCTATGCATGTGAGTATGCATGCACATAGATGCACACACATAGATATTTTTTTGGAATCATTCATTGAAATATACCTGAGTACTTCTCAAACTCTGACATATATTTTATATTTCCTAAGAGGAAGGTTAGATTAAACTGCATTTTGAAAATTGTTTGTATTGTGTTACATATGCAGTTCATAATTGTAGCAGAAAAGCATATTTCATTTTAGACATGTTTTAAAAAATGGATGCTATTAATTTGCATTAATGTAGATTTTTTTTATTACCTAGCTGCTTTTTGATATTCTTTGTAGAGGGCAGAAATCAGTTTTACGTTTTTGCATATTTACGTAATAGAACAGTATCATATGAATCTTTTAAACTTCCACATCATGCCGCCATCCCTAGGCCAATTTACCATTGACATAGCCATCATAGGCAGCTGGTTTGGGGTGTCATAACTGTCAAGCACCTCTTACTTAATATTTGTGTGTGTGTGTAACTTTGAGTCAGTGCTGACTCTTGGGGACTGCCTGGACTAGTCCCTGCAGTTTTCTTGGCAAGATTTCAGAAGTGGTTTGCCATTGCCTCCTTCCTAGGGCTGAGGGAGAGTGACTGGCTCAAGGTCACCCATCTGGCTCTGTGCCTAAGGCAGGACTAAAACTCAGGGTCTCCCATTTTTAGCCTGGTGCCTTAACCACTACACCAAACTTGCTCTCAATTACTGCTATTTATGTTTACCTCCAGGAAAAGGGAAAGTTATATGTCTCATTATCTGGCTCAGCTGCCAAAATACTTTACCCATGGATGCCCCGGCTTGGCTAGCTTTGAATACTAACTACCTTGATGTGCGGTGGGATGTCATCTGCTGTATTGCTTCCTGCACCTAAAGTCCAAAGAAATAGAATCCAAATCCTTGGCCTGTATTTGTAGAGAGTTAAGGATAAACAGGGGATTGATATCAGACACATACTTAAGGATTCTGAGGAATCTTTTAATTTCTCTTCTCAGAACAATTTTTTGGACTATTATATTGCTTACTTGAGGGACTTGCCAGAATGTATCTCTTTGATCCATGTGGTGATTCTGAAAAAGGTGAGTTGTGGCCTTGTTAAATAATTTGTTTCCTGCAATGATGTCATTTGAATAGAAAATACTGCAGTTGTTTCTGATCCAGGCTCCCTTCTGCATGAATGGTATGTTACTTTCAGGGAAAGAGCAATTCTAGGGACACATAGGAACGTATGGGCATGGTGCTGCCATTGAAACAGATCCCATCAAGAGGATGAGCTAACAGGTATCCATCAAAGTTTTGCTGGTTTGGGAAAAACAACTTAAATTCGCTAATGAACTCATTCCCAAGCCACAGTGGCAATGTTAAGAATGTGGACTACGAATGGATCTCTGCCTTTACATTATTTTTGCTTGAAGCAAAGGTTTTAAGATACTATATTCATATCATATTTTTGTTTTCCTATTTCCACATTCATAGTTATGGATTACAGATTCACAGATTCACAGACATTCAGAACAATCAGCCTTATTTGAATGAAAATAAGGAATCACATGTTTAACACCCAATCTCTGATAATAGCCTTACAGTTTCATTTTCAATTAATTTACAATTTCTGAACTGTCTTTGAAGACTGAACCCACATAGGAGTACAGATAGTCCCTAATTTAAGAACAAGTTACGTTCCCAAAGTTGGTTCTTAAGTCAAATTTGTGTGTAAGCCAGAACAATATTATTGTATAATACCGTGTAAGTAGTATTGTGTGATTAACTCGAACCATTGTGTATTTAACTCAAATCATTGTGTATTTAACTCAAATTTTACTACAATAGGCTCCATTCTTAACTATGGATTGTTCTTAAATCGGGTGTTCTTAACTCGGGGATTACCTGTATCTTGTGATAGTCTAATCTCATAGTAATGTATTTAAAAAAGTTCTTTGAAGTGTAGAGATTTAGAGATAATTAAATGGTGATTGATGTGCTAATTGTTACAGATACTAAAATCCACACATTTTCATGCAATAATTTCATAATTCTTGTTTTGCAAAAAATTATGCATCTATTTCTGCAATTAACAGGATTCATCTCCAATTTATAAATTATTTAAATTTGTTTTATCTTCTCTCATCAACAGATTGAGGAAGAAATCAAGTCTGACCTCTACATATTTTTCTTTCATATTGTCCAGCGCATCCCAGAATATCTTCTTCATTTGCAAGTAAGTTCTAATAACTTTCTTTGACCTTTCTTTAATTAAAATGTGAGGAAGCTTTAGTCTTCCAGATGGAGTTGTATTCTAGCTCCTGTCATGGTCAGTGGTCAGAAATGATGGGAGATTTGTCCCATCATTTGGAGGATCACAAATTCCCCATCCCTGTGTTAATGGTTATACATTAGGAAATATCACAAATCTTCACAGATAATGTGGATTTTAGGAACATAGGAAGCTGTCTTATATTGTGATGTCTTGCTACAGTGTTTTGGAAGGGGGTCTGTTCCAGCTGTGTCTGGAAATTGAAGCATACAGCACTCCATCATGGAGCTTTGGCCCCTTCAGAGGACTGTAGAATGCTGCCTTATATTGAGTCAGATCATGGATCCATCTAGCTTGGAACTGTTTGTAGTAGAGGTGTGTGGCCCTCAGGCCTCCACCCGACCCCATTTTTGTGGTTCCTGGCATCACAAGGCTTCAGATTACAGCACCAAACTTCTGCTTTTTGACAAAATTTTTGTGGAGTTTTGGGGAAAAAAAGTCCTCAACCATACCATGAGCAAAAGAATAGGCCAAATAGTCTCTATATCACTGCCCATTTTCCCTGTGGCTCCCAGAAGTTGAAAGAAAGGAAAATGTGACCTCCAGCCAGCTCTGATTTACAATATAGCAACTGGCATTACCTGCCTAAGGTTTCATTCAAGACACTTTCCCAGACTATGAAGAGATCCTGCAAGAGATCAAAACTGGAAACTTTTTCATTCAAAGCAAGTGCTGTACCAATGGGTTATCAGGGGGAAAAAGGGGGGTCTGACATGGTCCTCAGTGAAAGGTGAATATCATGATTTATGTCAAATGAACTGAGAAGATGTTGGAGATTTAATTCTGATTTCCTCCTTTTGCACCAGAACATCCTGAAGTACACTGAGCAAGAGCACCCAGATTATTACCTTCTTCTTGTTTGTGTTCAGCGCCTGCGAGTTTTCATTTCTCACTACAGTCTTCTCTTCCAGTGCAATGAAGATCTGCTAATACAGAAACGAAAGAAACTGAGAAAGTGAGTTTGCTGCTAAAGTGTAGCCTCTTTGTGCATTTTTATGAAGCTTTCTTTCCAAGAGCTTAAGATAACTATATGTCTCTCTTCTTCTTTGACCTTCTCAACTAGTCTGAGAATTAGGTTGCCTGAATAATAATGACTGGACCAGGATCATCCTGTGAGCTTCAGGGCAAATTTTGACCTGGTCTTCCCAGCTCCTGGTTGATTGCTACGTTACAAAATCTGACAGCAGCAGTACTGTGCTTTGTTGGCTATCCCCAAAAGAGTACATGGAGTAGTGGGGGAAGTGTTAGCACTACTGTGGGTAATCACAGGTCCCTTTTAAAAAATGTAAACATGTTTTATAACCTGACTATGTGAAGAGAAAGGCCTTGCCATTGCCATCTTCATTATTCCCAATGCCTCTCCAGGATCTTGCTCCCAAAACATCCCTGGAGGCCCAGGGATAATGTGGCTAATGAAGACGCAGCTGTTCTCAGCCACCTCTTCTGTAGTATCAGCCTTGTGGAACTGTTCCACTTTCAGCATCATTGCTGTACCTGCTGCTGCCACCTCCATTTGCCTGTCCTGGAGGGAACTGGTAGAGGCTCCTCAAATAAATCTTCAGAAATGGTACCAGCTCCAGTTGAGTTCTGTGAGGTTGTGCTGAGTGGCATTGCCCTTCCATGTAGGATTTCTTCCAGCACTGTTTCTTTCTGCTCCTGCTTTGGAAATAGTCTTGCTTAAGGCAGAGTGGAGCACCATCATGAATTCTGGAGTTGGAGTTACATGCAGCATGGTGAGGGTTGGGTCCTCTAACCCTTAAACAGTGTGTTCAATTCTGTCATCCTACAGTCCCAGGTACCTACAGTCTTTGGGAGAGGGTCTGCTCTTCAAGTTCAGGTCTGCAGATTATGCATACTGGTGACAGAGGTGGACCTTTCCCCATGGTGGCACCTGGCTTGTGGAATTACTTCCTCTCCAATGCCAATGTGATCTTTTAAATTTACCTTGTTACATTGGATTTCTGCAGCCTTTTTTTTCTCTTTTAATTAGTTGCTTTACTCCCTTTGAATCTTTGCAAAAAGAAGTAATATTGTAAATTACTTGGAATTCTTTATAATGTGTATAGAAATATTTGAATGAATAATAAGAATTTGACACTGTTCTCCCCTAAGAAAAGCTTAGCGCATGTTCTGTATGGATAATGCAAATTTAAAAAGTGCCACTACTATCCCCTACAACCAGGATTATTTCCACAGCCAAATTGTTGAAAAATGTAAATGAAAAATTGGGTGGATCTGCTCATTCTACTTTGCAAGATTTAGATTTTAGCCCTTCTTTAACATTATGGTGGAGTAACAGTTTTTTTCACACAACATTGTCTCTCCAACATAACACTAAAGAAGGGCTCAAATGGTCTTGTTATAATGGCCTTGTTTGTTTCCTGAAAAAGCAGCACCAGTTGCTGAAGTTCCAGAACAGCTTGTTAGATACTTGACTGAGTTTCATTTCTGTATGTTTTGTTGCTATAGTGTAGTTGCCACTGGTATTTACATACTTTCCTTAATGAACCTGCAGTATTATAGTGGTAGATTTCAATGCCTATTTATGTGTACTGGGATGGAATATGGGAATATAAAGTAAGCCTAGACATAGATTTCTTAGTAGAATTAGGTAATTTGCAGTAGATCAGCAAAGGATGCTCAAAATAAATTCATAATTCTTTAATTTGCTATGTGTTTCTTTTGCACCAGGCTCTGGTTGGTGAAATTTGCTATTCTAGTACCGAAAAGGAAAACAATAAACAAAGTCAATCCTATTAACCTGTTTCCTGCCTGCTTATGATGTATGCAGTGTATTTTCCTTAATTAGCTGTTAGGCCTAGTGCTATTTGGGAATTTTAAATACAGTATAAGGGCTAAAAACTTGTGTCTGTTAATGAAAGCTGAAGTTCTCAAAAGTTGTTTGTGATCTAGATATTTCTTATTCTTACATGGATCTTAAGTACCAGTGATAGTGACAGTGATCAAGCATTATAGAAATGAAATTAATACAAGAATAGTTGCATGCTAACTAGAAAAGCTGATGCAATTGCATTCTTGTTGAACTCAGAAGTATTGTATCTAATTTTTACTAGATCTTCCTTCATAAAGTTATATAAAGGTCTAGCCTCTCAGTGTCCCAGCAGCGGACAAGCAGCATCTCCAACACCGAGTGCAACTTCCTTTCACAATAGTGGAATCCATTCTGAAGAGACAGTGCAACTATTCCCATCAGCCTCTGCTTCTGGAACAGCTGCTATGTGAGTACAAAGATAGCATCAGAAGATACTAATTCAGAAATGTACATTACAGCATCATCTTCAGCTTCTTTATTCTTATTCTTACACTTGTTTATTCTTATGTTTTGAAAACTTTTTGTAGTGTAATGACTTTCACAAATATTTCATATTTTGTTCACATACATAGCTCAATCTAAGATAGTAACAAGAAACTTATTCTCCAAACCCTAGTGAACTATTCATATCAGAAAATGCACATTAGCAACTTGTTTGGGGTGTCTTCAGAAAATCAATATCTATGCTACAGACTTTGGCATTAGTAAGAAGGATTTTGAACAGAGCTAGAGGTTCAACAGTGAAGAACAGAACTAGGGAATTCTGTTGTAAGCAAAACAATTTACTTGAATGATAAAGAGCCCCCACAAAAATTAGTAACCCAATCATCCAAATTGGAGCTATTTTCACCTGTGTGGGGGTACAGGGAGAACACAGTGTTTACTTAATTATGTTTAATCTTTATTCTCCTACCACTCCTTTAAGGCATTTGATGTCACACATAAAAAAGGGCCAACCAGAAATGGCAAACATCCCAGGGAAACCATGTGAGTGGGAAGCTGATGGAAGAAAGCGTGGCAGGCCAGAGAGTGTTCTAACACCATCTCAGTTCAATGAGGGGGACCTGAAGGCTCTGGCAGCTTCCCTACAGCCTCTTCCAGACATTGAGTTCAATGCTGCTTCATCAGATGCAAAAGAAAACCTTGAGAAATCTCACAAGGCTTCTATGGAGCTTCTGCAAGACAGTATAAGCTTCACTCCCGATTTTGAAGATTTTGAATACAGAGGGAATACATATTCCATTCCTGGACTCTACGAGGAAGAACCCCTGGCTGTCCTTCAGACTTGCTCACCAGCCTCTTCTGAATCTAGCATTGACATCTGCTTCTTGCGGCCTGTGAACTTCCCAATGGAACCAGAAAAGGCAGAGCGCACTTTGCAACCACTTTCCAAGAGCAGTGATCCAGAGCACAGCAGCAGCAGCACCTCCAAGCGCGAGGCTTTTCGGAGCAAAGGCAAACAACTGAGTCGGTCCTTGAAGGAGTTCCCCCGGAGTGGGTCAGAAGGCATCAGCCCAAGGCTGTATAGCACAAGGAGCAGCAGTGGGAGTCGGCTGTCAAACTTGCAGGAAAGAGGCTTCCAGCTCCATGAGGCCTCTGCCACCTCCAGGAGCTCCCAGTGGAACTACTTTCCTCCACAGCGGGGACTGGGTGAAAAGCAAAGCTTTGTAGAAGTAAGGAGAGCAAAAGGCCAGGGCAAACCCACTTCCCAGCAGGGTCTGAAAAACACGTAAGCGGGCTACTGACTCAAAGGCAAAGAAGGGAGGGGTCAGGGCTGTGTCCCAGAGGGATAGCATTCAGTCCTTTTTGACTCGTAGTTGCATGTAATCCTGCATTTGGAGCACCAGTTGAAAGCAGTCTCCAGAGTATCTTCCTGCCTCTGTCTAGAAGATTATGCTCCAATTGCTAATTGAAAAAATGATGTCAACTCAAAGTTTCTAATTCCTTGAAAGGGGTAGACAGGAATGGAGACAGTACTTCACATGACACCCTTATGCATGATAAACTGGTTTAGTGACTACTGTGATAAACTGTGGTTTAGTAACCTAATATTCTGGATCTGCATGACACACTGAAACATAACTGCATGGCTGAATGCACATAGCATAGTATGAGAAAATATGGTTGGACAATTTATATCTTAATGTGTCTTGAATAAAGTCAGGGACACCATGGCAGCCCAGAATTAGCATTAAGAATTAAGAGAGATGGATGCAGATTAGTTGTACTGTTCAGTTTTAAGTAGGCTCTTCTAAGAATTTGCTGCTTAAGATTGATCTTACAGATAATCTGCTATAAACATCAGCCCAGCCATGTCTTGACAAAGTCATCCGCCTTAGCTTAGATATTTTGTGCTGCTGAGCCAGGTGTCTACTACTCCTACATTAAGGTGAGCCTTTCTAAACCAAATGATTAGGTTATGAAGGCGGATAGTTAAGAAAGAACTCCTTTGTAGTACAGGTCTCTGGAGACTATGTGTGCAGACAGATACGCCTCCTGCCTGCCGAGAGGCAGGGAGCAAACTTGTAGGGACAGGATCATCTTTGCTGCTCTTGATGAAACACAGGCTTCTGGGAAGCAATTCCTGATCCTTAAGTCGGGCTTGGTTCCTATGCCCCGTTTTAAAGAAATTGAGAACTGCTGCTGCACTAGCCCATGACAGGAACAGAATGCACTTCAGTTCAGCCTGTCTGATAGGTCCAAATGCTCACATCCCTCCAAATATTGTTTTGTGATCCGTAGCAGCCTTCATTGTGTCAGCTGGGCTCCTGGGAATTGTGATTCGCTGGCATTTATAGAGTAAAAGGTTCCCTACTTTTGCTGTAGAAGTTGATAAACAAACATTAAAGGTTTCTTGCAGATTTATTTTCCCAACCTCCTTTGTTCCACTATATGAGAGAACTATTTTTTCTTCCTTTTCAGGAGATGCATTTAGAAGACATCAGATTCTCTTGTAGAGATGATAATGAGCAAACATCTTTCAGCAGCCACACACCACGGCAAGAACAGAAAAGAGGTTTTCGCAGTTCCTTTTGCAAACTTTTCAAAAAGAAATGAGTTACTCAAAGAAAAATAAATTTGCCAACATTCATTTACTCCTGTTATTCAGAAATAAGGGCTACCTAGTAATGGGGAAAGCTTAGTATTAATATCCATGCTATCATATTGGTTCCGAGTTGCTCTTTATCATGTAAAACCTTAGAGAAGTGTGGACTGACATAATTTTGCCAAATAAACTTAGGCAGGATTTTCAGGGCTGGAGATACCTTGCATGCCATTACAAGAGCTACTCATGGTAGAGTGCATGTTATACAGACCTAGTTCTATCTCACTTTAAATTGGACATTCAAGGTGGTGTATACAGCGCTCCCATATGAACTGGTTCCATAGAAAATAAACTTTCGGTGTCTACAAATATTCATCAGGTCATCATTTTAAATCCCCTTCTATCATGCATTTTTAATAGTGTGGAAAAATTTGGCATAGTTCTTGATTGTTCTGCTCTCTCTAAAAGAGCAGTTCACCTTTTAAGAGTAGCTTAAGAAATACAGCATTCTGGATATAAAATGGTTAAATGTTATAATAGGAATGTTCACAATTTATTTAAGTGATCTGGAATTAAAAAGAAATATCAGGATGAGAAGCTTCCATTTTTTTTTCACACAAAGAAAAGCAGTGCTAGGCTCATATATACATTTTAAATTACTATAGAATATATTTCACTTCAGAGCATGATTTAGGTGATTATTGCTTGCATTTTGCTTCAGATGAAATTTGTCCTAAAAAACACTGTTTATTTGCTCAGCAAATTCAACTGAGTATTTTTTGTGTGATTAAGAAGCTACAAAAGACTAACAATGGGACAAAAACCCAAACCACCCTATGAAGATTGAATAGTCATACAATGCAAAGTGAAAGCTGGAAAAGTAAAATAATGAAAATGGGAAATGTGGAAGAAACAGTACAATACCCTGCTGGAGCTAATAATCCATAGTATATTGAACAGAAACATTCAATTGGAAGAGATATTTTGCTGCTCACCTAGAAAACTGGGATAATAAACAATCAGAATTACCCTTCCAGGAAATAATATTAAAACCTGAAGTCGTAATAGTTTATTCATGAAGGAGATGGGAGAAATTCTCTACACTGATTCAAATATTTTAAATACCAGAGTTGTTGTAAATGCAAAGCAAACAAAAGTACAACATAAGATCGACCTATTTAATTGCATTTTTTTTTACATTGAACTGTGGCCATTAGTTCTGCAGATTTAAGATGTTTGGTTTTCATATAATTAAAATGTAGCATATTTTCCTATAGCCCAATTTAATTCCACTGCTTGACTTGGATTTGACATCAACAAAAGCCAAGCACTCAACTTTTCTTCACATGAAGACCAAGCAGGAAAGAACTAATGGACAAATTTGACCATGCAGTTAGGTCTTGGGCAACAGGCTGTATTCAGCCACAGTATTCACATCTGATAGATTCTGCATGTGTTTTCTCCTTTTGTTGGGAGCTCACCTATACAACGTACGCATTCTCACATGATGTTAAAACACAGTGATTTGTTTGCTTTTGGCTTAGCCTAATGGGATGTGTGAATGTACCAATGAGTTGTAATATTCTAAACCCATTCTAATATTATACTCTTTATTAAACAACACTATAAGTTGAATAAAAAATATGGTAGCTCAACAGATCTAAATTATCATATATACAGAAATATACACTTACGGGATACGTAAGGCCTTTTTATTTAAGAACAGATCTTTTGAATGCCAAAAAATAACAGCCACTATTCATTTTTAGTTTAAATGCAATCTGAATACCATTGCAGACATAGCATACAAAGCACCTATAGACATGATTAGGTACACACAGACTCATAAAATTTACCAGTTTAGATATTACCACTTCAATCTTACACAGCTGAATTGGACCACCATTGCCTTTTAACAATTTAGCAATGAATCCACAGCATTAAACAAAAGGCAATACATTTTCAAATATATAAGTTATCAGAATTATTCAAAAATAAACCTGTACACAGAGGACAAGAAAGCTTGATTTCTAAATTGGCCAAATTAAAAATGTAATCTGAAAATAAGATCCTGCCAATGAGAGAATCTTTGTTTTAGAAAGAAAAACTTTTTAAAAGGCACATTTGGCAGCTACTGAAAGTTGCATACATCTGGCACAAGATTTGTTTTCCATTTCAGCTGGCTACATGATGAATTTACAAAGGTCAATTTTACAGCACCTGATCCCTTAACTAATTTTGTATTCAAAGGCAAAGGGAATGCGCTTTGACTTTAAAGCCTTACTTGCCACTTATTTTAAAAAAACACTCGTGTGTTTTTGATTTTGAATCACAACTAGCAGTGACCCTACAATTTGCTTTTTTAAAAGAAAAAAAATAGGGGAGTGATGACTAGTCAGTTGAAAAGCAATTTATAACAATTGTGCGAAAATTAATTCTTATGACAGACCAGCGTCTGAACTGGTTCTTTCAATGTTTTGAGAGAATATCCCAGGAGTCACTTAACTGAGTTTTCTCCCTTATTAAAAAGAACATTTCAGAAAGTCTTCACTAATTAAAATTTTAGAGCAACAAGGATTTCATGCATGCGTTCCAGTCACCATTAGTGTGGTGCGCTTAATTTATAGTGGAACAGAGATAGGCTACTTCCCCACACTAACATGAATGTAACAGAACACCTAACCCAACCGTCCCCTCTTCACCAGACTTCCCAGAGTTACCAATTCTGTCTTCTCCTGCAGATGGCATTTTTAAGGGATTAGTGCTAGTTCAGTGGGAAAAGTGGCTACAGAATCCACGTGTGCATGCACTGGATATTGGGTATTTTAAGGTATAACATAGCAGAAGCCTCTGAATTTTAAAATTGATGAAGTTTTCTATCAATAACCCAATTCCAGGAAAGATAGCCTGACTCAAGATGGCAAAAGTATACAAAAGCAAACAACACCATGCATAAACACAACACAGTTTTGCAGCATGCTAAACAAAACTTGGCCACAGATTGCTTAGATTTGCATGATTTCCTTCCATTATGTACTGAATATCCCAGAGGATGCAATTTATTTTCCCCTAATAACAGATTTGGTGGAAAGAGTTTCTCTGATCAGAGAAAATACATCTTGACTTGATCTAGATAACCAGTACTTGCTTATGTTCAATTTCCTAGCCCTAACAGATTATATGCTCCTACAATAACAGACATCAGGCCTGTGAAAATAATCTCTCTTGGGTTTTCATTGTGTGATAAGAGCTTTGCTAACTCAGGAATTTGATTACTTAGCCTTTAACCCAATAAAGCTATTACCTTACTTATTTTGTATAATTTTAGTGATACAATCCAGTACTAATTTATAGGAAATCCTTTAACAATTTCCTGGAATAGATTTTCTCTCTCTTTCACACACACACACACATACACACACAGATCACTTTAAAAAAGCTCTTCTACACTATTAAACCCTCACAACTGCAATTCCACACATATTGACAAGAGACAATAGAAGGGACTAAAACAACCTTTTTCATGCTGAAAATGGAGCACATTTTACCATAACAAAAAGTGATAGTACTAAGCAATACAATTGGGCTTCAGATTAAGATTTGCATTTTTAAAGTATTGATTACTTTTGTACAGAACTATGAATATTTACCTCATGGTAAAGAAGCTAAAGCCCTCACAATATCAATAGCATCTTTTCTTAAATCATTTAACATTTCAACAACTGACCTGTCTCAAGCAATCTTAAAGGCAGCTGTAATAAAACTTTTTGCTGGAGAGTTTAAGTTTTCATTTAAGACAAAGTTACATCTGCCTATGAAATTACTATTTAAAAATGTTAATTTAGCAAATGTGTACTCTAGTCTCCTTTCCTGAAAGTCAGACTGGTTGATTAGGGAACTCATGTTTCAGTGTGGCAGGCAGAAACAAGAAAAACTGCAGTTGCCCTCTGCTTTGCTCACATTGGAATGACATAACCTGCAATATTTAAAGTTCTTATGGATGGGATTGTTGCCATTATCTTTAATGATGCCAACAAAAGAAAAAATGGGTTTAACTGGGGCTCAATTTATGAATTTTTCATTATGAATCTGAATTATCTCTAAAATATCTTCAACGGAATCTCAGCTCAACACTTCTTATAGTCTAACACTACACATTTTTTCCAGAATGCCCGTTTGATTCTCATTATTATGACTGTAAAGTTTAAAAGGATTCTTTAAGGTAGATTCAATTATAATTTCCTGAAATGCAAAGACCATAATCTGAAACTGGAGAAATTTCTTATAGCAGTAGACTCCCAAAACGACAGTCTTTCACCAATATTCCAGTGGCATGGTTTTCTAGATTGTTGAAATGTACTCTGGGGCTGGGAAAACATCTCACGAGCCTTATCATCTAAGCATACAATACTGCACCATTCACAAATCCTAACGTGGCAGAGAAGATTGAAATATCTTTAATAAATGGCATGCATTATAATCACAGTATGGGGATCAGAAGGGTAGTTCATAGATCTATGGGTAATCCAGAATGGGATACTGTACTGTACTCACATAGATTTCTCCTAACATAGTAAATACCAACTTTAAACTTTATGAAGTTAGACAGAGTTCAGAATGTTATATGCATGAAATCCTTTATATTAACTATTAATCACTCCAACTCACCTGCATTTCTTATTCCATATCTTTCTTCTGGTTTTATCCTTTATAAACTAAAACAATGATCTAGAAAGAGAGATGTGTGTACCACAGCATGTCTCACCTCCTCAGGGCTAAAAACTGAAATGTACATTTAGCAATGCAATAATTTAATATATGTCAGCCAGACAAAATATCTGTGTCTTTATTTCAATTAAATTAAAAACAATTTGCAATTATATTTATGCAACATTCACTATATACATATGATTTATTTATGCAACTACAAGGCATAAGTTGATGCTGATTATTCATCTACCTACCACTAGTTAAAACTTGGTGATAACTGGGGTGGGTGGTGGGTGGGAGAGATGGCCAGCGGATCATCCTTTGCATTTCCATGGCATAATCAAAGAGGCTGCAGCACTAACTGGAAAGTGGATCATTGGTAAATCTTAACTGAAGACCTAGTCAATATTTACCCATTTTGTACATGTAGATACAGATTTAAACTGACAGTAGTAGTGCCATTTCATAGTATTTATTTCTGAAATTTAGAGGCCATCCACTTCCAAAGTGACTCTGGGTGGCTTACCTTAAAAAAAATAAGAAACAATAAAAGAAGATCCTACATGTCTGGACAAGCACACTCCCTCAAACAGAAAACATAACCACAGGGCTCCACAAACAACCTACTCCCAGGCCTGGGAGAACAGCCACACTTCTAAAAACTTCCAGATCATCATGGGAGCTACACAGGACTCTGAGGAATATCATTCCAGAGGGCAGGTGCTATGACAGAAAAGGCAGGCTTCCTGGGTCCTGAAAGATGGCATTGTTTGATTGACGCAACCCAAAGCACACCAACTCTGCCTGATCTTACAGGGCAGGCAAAAACCACAGGAGAAGGCACTCCCTCAGATAGCTTTTGCCATTCATATGAGATTTAAATCTCTTTTGTTTAAAGGTGGCAAAAATTAGGCATTCTACTTCCTGCTTAACTCTTCAGAACTGGCCCCAAAACATTTATATAGAAGGAAAGTACCTCTTTGGTGAAGCCTAGGTACCCATGTATTTACTAGTAACTGTAACAGTTTGTAAACAGGACTGCAGTATAATGCGATGCCTTAGCTGTATCCTGGTTCAGTACCACAGATCATCCTCACAGTCCAGTTCATGGTTTGAAAGCAGGGAATGATAAAATTAAATTGAGAAGACTATCAAATTCCCTGTTTGAGATTTTTTTTTAAAAGTGCATATTTTTACTCCGAGAATTTATGTCATGGTGGACAGATTATAAGATTATGCTTCACATCCTTCACTGGACAATACACAAAGCACAGGGTATGCTTATTGGCCCAAAGAGATCTGCAAATCTAATTTCTGGTACATTCAGATGTCCAGTGAGTTTAGAACAGTGCCTTGCATACTTTACTAACAAACAGCATTTTTTTCCACAATAAAGGGGCCTGTTATTACGATTCATTATTTTCTACATTATATATCAAATGCATTGCAGAGTCATTAGTGTTAGGAGCAATATCACTCAGCTCCTTGTTGCCAAAAGACACGGTGCATCTATTGCCAGCAATAGACGTAGCACCAGAGAAAGCACGCTCTAGCACAAAGGAGAATTCAGGTGGAGTGGGCATTCTCCAGCAAAGGGGGTCCATCTCGATGCACTGATGGATGGGTAGGCTCCCTTTTATAAGTTTTTGGAGGAAGCTTTGGGATATGTTGAGAAGTGCTTTGCCGTGGAGGAACAGGTGGCCCAGCAACAGAATGGAGGTCCATTTCTTGGGGTATCAAAGGAGGTGATGGCAAATGCCTACGTGCAACATGGGGAGAAGGGGTTTGAGGAGGAGGGGGAGTAAATGGAGAGGGACTGTTGGGAAAGAAAGTGTTGCCAAGTTCACTTTTTCTGCCTAAAGGCGGTGGCTGGAGATGCAGAGGTGAACTAGAGAAAACATCAGGAGTTCGCACAGGTTCTCGTGGTGGCAATACAGGTGGGCTTTCAGGAGCATCTGAGATGGAGGTCCTGTCGGGCACTGAATACCTCGGTGAATACATTTTTGTTGTTGGCTGCCGAGGGGGAATTGCTGGTGGACTGTCCAGATGCACAGAAGAAATCTAAAACAAACAAAAAGTGACTCCCTTATAAAGTGATTCAGGGATCTCAGTGTTACATTGTTAAACAAATGTGCCAAGGCAGACCCTCCCAACAAAAACTAAATAAGCCTTGATAAATCTTTCATCCAAAGATAGATTAAACAAACTTGTACTTCAACTTCTCCTTTTCTTTCTGTGGTTAAAAAAAATCTTTATGTTACATCCATGTTTATTTTAAATCTACCACACTGGTGTTGAAAAATAGGAGTGTGCACAAAATGGAAATATGTTTTGTTTCAACCCAAACAAAGCCCTGTACTCTTGACATTCTGCTCAATTCTTTCATATCAGCCATGATTCTGTTTGTTCCAGTTTTTGGTTGCAACAAAATCCAGTGGGATCCCAACATGATTTTATGCAGCAAGTCAGACAAAGTCAGCTTATGCATGTCCCCAGTCTTCCTAGTACCTTCCCTTTCTACCCTCCCGAGCCACTGTTGTTGGCAATGTAATGGCCTGGGCACTTCTTTCTAACTGCAATGGTCTCAGCAGGAAGGAATGCTTATTATAATATCCCATCAACCCACCCACCCCGATCTTCCTACCAGCTTCCTTTCCCTTAGTCACCACCATCAATGTCTACACATGCAACCTCTAAGGAACCCTTCCTCACCTTTTCCCTTTTCCCAGTCTTACAGCCCCCAGTCTCTCAACCATGGAGCAACCATGTTTCTGTCTGTATCTAAATGAAAGCAGGCCCATTTCTCCCTAAATACAGAGTAAAACATTGAAGCATGCATGTTTCAGTTTGGCCACAGATCATTCAAAATCAGCTAGTCCATGCATGAAACTGTTTGAGCATAGAGTATTTTGCACATTCTAGAAAAAGCTAAAAGCTTGCATTTGTCAAGCATTTCATACAGTCAATCTTCTTATAACAATGCTTGTTACCAACGAAAGCTTAAAACCATTTGCATAAGAACAGCGGAAGCCATTATGGCCAGAAGTACTGCTTAAAACTTTGTTTTGGTTTAATTTGGGGGGGGGAGCACTAAATATTAAAGGTGAAATTAATGACACTTCCTCTCCTTAGTCAATGCTGCAAAAATTTACAAAAAGGTGTCATAAGTACAGCCAGAACATTTAATTCTTGCAAAGAAAGCTGCCAATCCATGGTTTGCACTTCAGAATGACAGAAAATGGCCCCTGACTTTTCATTATGGCTTCTTCAGTCACCTTTTCACAAGGCTAAAACTTACCCAGCTCATTCAGTCTCTCCTTGTAAGACTTTAATAATTTCCAAACCTTTTAAACCATTCTTGTTGCCTTTACTGATGTAACCTTAAAGTTGCACTTGCCTTTTTGGCAATCACATCAAACTGCCAAGCCAGGTGTCCTGTGTCCTTCATTCATTCATTCATTCATTCATTCATTCATTCATTCATTCATTCATTCAACTATGAGTCTACTACTCAACCCACACTTAATTAACCTGCTGTTTGGAAAGTCAAATGGAATCACTCTTGGCCTTCCAGGACCTGTTACGGACAGTTATTTTGGAGAGCCTATGGGGAATGGTCACTATTGTGCTTATTTTATAATGGTAGTTTTGTACTTTTATTGGCTTTTAGATTTTTATTATGTTTTTATGTTTTTTATGATGCAAACTCTGGGAGTCTTTTCCAAGTCTGGCAGTGTATAAACAAAATAAACAATTAAATAAATGGTACAGTTACCTTTGTACCACACAGAGGTTGTGTCAGCATCTGGTCGCTTCAGAATTCACTAAAACAAACATTCTGACTGGGATGCACCTAACCTTTTGCACGCAATATATACCCTATACTATATCTTTTAAAAATAATTTCAGAAAACTTATTACTTCTGCTAAGCGAAACAGAGAAAAATTACCTTTGACGGAGAAGATTCTGCAGGAGCAGATTCTGGACGTCTTCGGGGAGGAATAGGAGGAGGAACAGTAATTTCTTCAGAATTTTTGGGAAAACTGATGGAGGATACCGAGGCAGACCCTGAGGATATATGAAAGCCTTGAATGGCCTATTCTAAACAGAGTAAAATATACAATATAAAAACTAATTGTTTTCATTTATGTATTGAATTTCTGTTATACCATGTCAATTTCATAAGAACCAGATTCTTAAATTTATTTATTAGATTTGTATAGCCACCCATCTCACATGTGACTGCACAGCTCACAACAATTAAAAACAGCAATAAAACACAATAAAAATATAAACTCAACAAACATACAACCATAATAAAAATCACCATTAAAAACGAAGTTAAATTAAACCAAATAAGGCTGATAAACTTTGCAAAACAACAGAAGACATCCAGGTGTGGGATATTAATTAGTTAGGAGAGATCCTCATGAAAACAGGTACTGGGAAATTATCTGATTTATATTTATCCTTTGTGAGCTCAATGCATTTTGTGAAATTCATTTTGGAAAATGAAATATGAAGGAAACAATTATTCTTGTAACTTTTTTCAGTTATTAACAGCTATCATCAGTGGTAAATAGGACTGCTTTACTTGAGTATTAAGTTTCCCTATTTTCTAAATGATGATGATAAATTATAAAAGCATCAATTAAATCAAAAGTCCCAGTAGATTCTATTCATATATAAACACCATCTCATTTATTCTTATACTATCTAGCACTATCACAACACAAATAGAAATGAAATGGGCCAAAAACATGAAAATGGGAGAGAACATCATACCCTGTTGTTGCACCTACTTGAATGAAAAGGTGTAGAGGGATCAGAGTCAAACACACTGCAGACATCTGTAGTGCTGGACGTGGAAGATGGCAAGGGTGGGGTGAGCGGTGTTCTTGGAGAGTTTGGTGCAGAAGCTGCATTCTCTGATTCACTCTCAGGAACACGACTGTAACTAATTTTTCTTGGCTCTTGTTGCAGAGGTGTTGGATGTCTCATGGTTCCAGGTCTTGGATTTGATGGACGAATACCCGGAGATTTGAGAGAATAGCTGTATTTTTTAGGCTGAAAGAATCCAAAACAGAAATGATAAGAACACAGAGTTAATCTGAACCTTTTTTTTACTTTTTTCATTTCCAGTTCTCCTTTTAAAATACTGTGTTTGTGTTGTTCTACAAGTAATTGATTATGTGCCATCAAGTTGGTGTCAACTCTTGTGACCACACAGCTAGGTCTATCCCCAACCTGGCTCTTTAGATCTCCCAGTGGTACACCCATTGTCACTGTAATTGAATTAATCCACCTTGCTGCTGGTCATCTACCTTTTTCCTTTCACTATTCCTATAATTACAAACTTCTGAAGGAAATTAGGTCTTTGTATAATGTGTCCCGATGAAATATGATAATTTCAGCCTGGTCATGTGCCTCAAGTGAGACTATGGACTGATTAGTTCTATGATGGATTTATTTGGGGCTTTTCTGGTTGTCAGTGGTATTCTCAGGAGTCTTATCCAACATCAGAGTTCAAAAATGTCAATACCCTTTCTATCCTGCTTCTACAGAGTTCAACTTTTACATCCGTAGAGTGCCATAGGGAAAACCATTGCCTGCACAATTCTGATCTTTGTAGATACAGACAAGTCATGGCATCCAAATATCTTTTCCAAAGCCTTCATTGCTACCTTACCAAATGCTAGTATGTGACATATTTGACTCCTGGTTCCTTTACTGTAAAACTGTCCTTAAAAAAAAAGAAAAGAAACAGTGATTTATAGCAAGTAAATAGTAAACACTGAATACTCACAAATCTTGGAGGTGGCTTCATATTACGTGGCTCTATTTCTAGGGACTTGTTGTAAAGAGAATCTGCAAATTCTTTTTCCATGCTATTTCCCATTGGATTCAAATTTTCAAAAAATCTCTAAAACCAAAACATTCAGGAAGATTAGCATAATGTAACAGTGATTTGGGGGGAACGCGGTGGCGCAGCGGCTTAATGACACTGAAAGTTGCCGGCCAGAAATGGTCGACGCTTCAGCAGTTCGAGTCCAGCCT